TTGGAGGAGTTCAGAGATCCATGTCCCGCTAACCTAGACTGCTGCAATGTGCTGCACATGGGGCTGCCCATGGAAACGGCCTGGGAACTTCTGCTGGTGCAGAGTAAAGCTGCAAGGTTGCTAAATGGAACTGGATGCTAGGAACATATTAAAAAGGTAAAGGGACCCCTGACCATTAGGTCCAGTCGCAGACGACTCTGGGGTTGCGGCGCTCATCTCGCTCTATAGGCCAAGGGAGCCGGCGTTTGTCCATGGACAGCTTCCGGGTCATGTGGCCAGCATGACTAAGCCACTTCTGGCAAACCAGAGCAGCGCACGGAAATGCCGTTTACCTTCCCGCCAGAGCGGTACCTATTTATCTACTTGCACTGATGTGCTTTCGAACTGCTAGGTGGGCAGGAGCTGGGACCAAACAACAGGAGCTCACCCCGTCGCGGGGATTCAAACCGCCGACCTTCCGATCGGCAAATACCTCCCCTGGCTGCTAATCTGTTTCAAGGGAACTGGTGGTTTTGACCTTGGAGCCCGCACTCACACCTTGGGACCTTGCTAGCATCCCTTCCAGTGTGTCCTGAGATCATATAGAGTCGAGTCCTTGCAAGGAGCACCCACAACGATGGGAGAGAAGGGAAGCAGGGCTCAATTCGACTGCTTTCTTAAGGCTCGGCTCCATCAGGCACCTCCTGCCCCTGAACTAGGCTTGATGGTCATTATAAGAGTAATTGTTTCAGAGGCCTGAGTTTGATCTTTTCCATCCTTGTGTGTTATGTGATCCCACCCTACCCTGAGCCAAGGAGATAAGTAACTCTAAACCTTTAGAAGACATCTGAAGGCTATCTACAGAGAAGTTTTTCATGTTTTAGTATGTTTTTCCTATATGTTGGAAGCCACCCAGAGTGGCTGAGCCAATGCAGTCAGATGGGTGGAGTATAAATAATAAAATTATTATTATTATTATGGAATAAAAGGACCGTCAGAACTGTCCGACAGTGGAACAGTCTCCCTTGGGAGGTGGCGGACTCTCCTACCTTGGAGGTTTTTAAGCAGAGGTTAGATGGCCATCTGTCATATGTGCTTTAGCTGAGATTCCTGCATGGCTGGGGGTCAGACTAGATGCCTCTGGGGCTCCCTTCCAACTCTATGATTCTATTATTCTATTTTCATTGGAGAAATGTTGGAGGGTATGTCAGGATTATGGGGGCAGAGCTTCCAGTTTAGGGATTACATGGATCTGAGCACAAGAGAGAGAACATGAAAGAAAGAAAGAAAGAAAGAAAGAAAGAAAGAAAGAAAGAAAGAAAGAAAGAAAGAAAAACTGGCTCAAGGTCACAGACTTCTAAACCAAAACGAATACCCAGATGTTCAGGACCACCCATCACGTCAGCGGCTGAATGTATGGCTCAGAAGAACCTTCAAAAAGCAGAACCAATTCCTCACCACAAGGACTTTGGTTTCCAGAAATTCATGTTTGAGGCAGGGAGGGGGGAAAGAGAAGGGGGTCCGGGAACAGCGCTGCCAAGATAAATGGGTCAACCGCAACGCCAAAGGCCGACGGACAAGAAACGTCCGGCCAACATGGGGCAAAGAGGCTTCAGGCCCGTTTCCAGACCTCGTTGCGGATACAGAAGCAGGCGGCTGTGGAACTTGGCAGGCGAGGGAGAGCCGACGTCACCCTGTCTGGATCAACAAGTCAGGCAGGAGCTTCTGTCTGGCAAAGGCTGCCAGGAAATCGATCCCCTGGCCAAAGCCGTGGGTGCCTAGGCCTCAAAGCCTCACCAAACAGAGCGGATCCAGCTGTGCGAAGGGGGTTGTGGGATTACGCACGGAACTGGGGTTTATGTAAGGCGAAACAAGGGAGGCTGTCTATATGAGATCAGGGTGTGGCATGGAGAAGGTGGAGGGTTTTTCCTTCCTCTCCTTTCTAAGGCTATAGCTCAGGGAGAAACCCAGTAAAACTGAGGGGAGAAGGAAGTTCCTTGCTTTATTGTAAGGAACTCATTGCCACAAGGAATCGGCACAAGTGTAAGCGATTTGAAGCAGGGCTATTCCAGTCATTTGGCTGAGTAAAAGATAAAGGGACCCCTGACCATTAGGTCCAGTCGTGACCGACTCTGGGGTTGCGGCGCTCATTTCGCTTTACTGGCTGAGGGAGCTTCCGGGTCGTGGCCAGCATGACTAAGCCGCTTCTGGCAAACCAGAGTAGCGCACAGAAACGCCGTTTACCTTCCCGCCAGAGCGGTACCTATTTATCTACTTGCACTTTGACGTGCTTTTGAACTGCTAGGTTGGCAGGAGCTGGGACCGAGCAACAGGAGCTCACCCTCTCGTGGGGACTCGAACCGCCGACCTTCTGATCGGCAAGTCCTAGGCTTGTGGTTTAACCCACAGTGCCACCTGCGTCCCATGCACTCATAGCTGTTATTAATGTGCAAGACAATACTGCATAATATTTGAAGGTTTTCTTAGAATGGGGTTTCCTTAGAATGGGGCGCGGCTGTGGCTATCATGAAGGTGCCGTGCAGTTCTGAATTTGCCGCTATACTACTGCCCATCAGCCCCCGCCAGCCTGGCTAACGGTCAGAAGCAAATGGAGGGAGCCCAGCTTGGCAGGGAGGGAGAAAGGAAAAACTTGGTTGGAGACAGCAATGGTTGGTTCCCAGCTGATGGGAACCACAGGAAGACAGAATGCTCTTGTGCTCAAGTCCTGCTTGCGAGTTTCCCAAAGGCAGCTGGTGTGCCAGCGTGGGAACAGGATGCTGGACTTAGCATCGCAGAACTGGAAGGGCCATGAGAGTTAGCCTGTCCAACCCACTGAAATGCAGGAATCTTCTTTGCTCGAACTCGCCACCCTGAGATTAAGAGTCTCATAAGATTAAGAGTTTGAATCAATGGACAAGTTATAGGAATTGGATAGCACAGGTGGAAGCCAACCCAGGCATCCAAATTAGAATGAATAATCTGTGCACATGGTTAAAGATTTGAAGAGAGAACAATTTGGGGGCGGGGTTAAAGGGGAGGGAGGAAGGGGGGGAAATTAGGATAAATGAGTAGGGACAAAAGTATATATTGTTATGCATAACTAATAGGAGGATAATTTTGATGTATGTTATTGTTAGATTTTCAACTGAATGGTTTATTTTGTAAGTTATTGACATCCCTGGATGAAACTGTGGTTATAAAGAATGGGCAAAATAAAAAAATAAAAAATAAGATTAAGAGTCTCTATTCTGCCTTGGTCAGACCACACACCTGGAATACTGTGTCCATCCAATTCTGGGCACCACAATTTAGGAAGGATGTTGACAAGCTGGAAGGTGTGCAGAAGAGGGCAACCAAGATGACTGAGGGTCATGTCCATTTGGGACATGATCCATGACGAAATAAAAAAATTGATAAGGACATCACACAAAGAAAAGGCAGAGGCATATCTATTAGGAATTCTAGATAAAGATATCCCAAAAGATAAAACTAACTTATTTCTATACGTGACAACAGCGGCAAGAATTTTGATTGCTAGCTATTGGAAAGAGGAACGCATCCCAACAAAAAGAGAATGGTTGGGGAAACTTTGCAAGTACCTGGAACTAGCAAAACTGACGGATATAATAAGAAGAAAATCCAAAACTATAGTTATGAAGCAATGGGAGTGCTTAAATGATTATTTTCAAAACCAGGGCTCAACTACAAAAATCTGCCTGTGTTTAGAATAATCTTGCGTGTAATATAAAAAATACAAAGTGAGACATTAAGGAAATCCAAAGGGAAAATATGAAGAACAGAGGTTCTGATGAACGGAGTATTAAAAACGCGTGAGATAAACGGTGGAAGTCTTTTTTTTTTCTTTTCAAAAATGATCTTTTTCTTTTACTTCTTTATTCTTTCTTTGTTCTTTTTTTCTTTTTTTCGATATCTTATCTTTCATTTCACTGCTTTATTGTAAACAGCATTTTATAGAGGTATAAATAACTGTAAATATGAAAAGAGACAAAATTTTCTCTAATTGTTTTTCCTTGGTTAGATGTATTTTCTCTTTCTTTTGTATTTTCTTTTGCTGTGAATATGTATGTTTTTTTAATTTGTACTTAATAAAATTATTTTTTAAAAAAAAGATGACTGAGGGTCTTACGAAGAGCAGTTGATGGAGTTGGGTATGTTCAGCCTGGGAAAAAGGAGATGGAAAGGAGACAGGCTAGCCTCCCCTTCAAATATCTCAAGGGCTGCCACATGGAAGATGGAGCATGCTTGTTTGCTCCAGCTTCAAGTTACAGCAAAGCAGATTTTGACCAATCATCAGAAAAAACTTCCCAACAGTAACAGCTGTTTGAGCTTCCAAGTCTGTGATTTTATGCTTCACCGACTTGGTGGGCCTTTGGCCTGATCCAGCAGAACTCTTATGTTTTTATGCTGGTGGAATCAGCCAGTGAAAATTGATGGTGCCCCCTGATTCAAGGCCAACCTAAGAAAGTTCTTGTCCTGCGCTACGGATGCAGAATCTGTCTGTCCCATTCCACGTGGCCAGCAGCTAGGGATAATGTCAGTAGCAACATCTAGAGCAGTGGTTTCCACATTTCTCCTCCCCTCACTTGAAAATCATAGGTGGTCTCAGCAGTTGGGATTTTTTTTTTGCCTCCTGTAGATGTGCTAAAAGGGACGCAGGTGGCGCTGTGGGTTAAACCACAAAGCCTAGGATTTGCAGATCAGAAGGTCGGCGGTTCGAATCCCCGCGATGGGGTGAGCTCCCATTGCTCGGTCCCTGCTCCTGTCAACCTAGCAGTTCGAAAGCACGTCAAAGTGCAAGTAGATAAATAGGTACCGCTCTGGCGGGAAGGTAAACGGCGTTTCCGTGCGCTGCTCTGGTTCGCCAGAAGCGGCTTAGTCATGCTGGCCACATGACCTGGAAGCTGTACGCCGGCTCCCTCGGCCAATAAAGTGAGATGAGCGCCGCAACCCCAGAGTCGGCCAGGGGTCAGGGGTCCCTTTACCTTTAGATGTGCTAAACGTTGCATTTCAAAATTGCATTTTATTGCTTTTCTATTTTTTACACTGATATTCTATTGCATTACCATTCACATTCCACGGAATTCAAACTGCAATGCAATACAAAAATGCAATCTAAGAAAGAAAAGAAGCAACAATTCTTATTTTTATTGTTTTAAAAAACCCTCAGTAAGGATATTTAATGCCACGGACTACCTCAGCAAAGCTTTAAAGGCCGCTGAGGGTCGATGGACCACAGTTTGGGAACTTCCTGGATCTCAAATTTCCTGGGGAGGGAAGGCCGGTCTGGACCCTTTGACGGCCGTCTCCCCCCCAAACATCAGGTTTCGATCCGGCTTAGAGGTTGGCGACGCAAAGCGAAAGCAAGTCGTCTGGCAGAGGTTGGTTCACAGAGGTTTATTGGGCCCGGCTGGGCACCCACCCCCATGATTCTGGAATGAACAAGAGGGTAGAGTCTGAAGGGGCAACAGGGACGGTCTGGGTCCAGCGAGGTACAAAAACAACGGTCCGTTTGGAGAACGCAGTGCAGGTCCCCGGAGCTCACTCCTCTTCCTCCTCTTCTTCCTCCTCGAGGGCGATGGCGCGAGGGCCGCCGGGCCGGGGCTGCTGCTTCTGGACCGAGACGATACCGGTGAGGAGAGCGTAGCCGACCATTGCCACCAGGCCCACCAGCACCGACAGGACCTGGTTGCGGCGCTTGTATGGCTCCTCCTCAGCATCGCTCCCGTCCCCGGCGGCTGCCTTGGGGACGCTGGGCGGTGGGTCGCCTGAGGGAGAGAACCGGCGCGGCCGTCAGGGGGAAGAATCGCAACGTGAGGTAGGCAAGATGGCAGAGGGGTGGCGGCTGAGGCGACTCATCGGTCAGAGCAGGGCTGGGGAAGCTGGCGCTGCCCAGACACGGCTAGACTCCAGCTCCCATCATTCCTGGCGGCTGGGAGGCAGAGAACATTCTGATACTACAACCGCCATCATCGCTGGCCAGGGCTGATGGAGTTGGAGTCCAAAAGCGACTGGAGGTTCTCCCTAGCTATGGGAAGAAGGGGGTGAAATCCCATTTCCCATGGGCCTCCATTCCCAGCAAGTTACCAACATGTCATACAGGTTTCGGTGCCCGATTAAAACATTTTTGCTTAGGCAAGTGTCAGGGAACTGCCATCGGAAGGAAGGGAGGTGAAAGGGCTCACACAGGTTGGGAGAGACTCAGCAGCTGAAGAGGGAACCAGTAGGGGGAGAGGAGCTGAGCTGAGGGAAAGTGAGCTGGAGGGATGGCTCAGAGACACTTCCAGCGAAAACAGTGGGGAGGTTTCAGGACCTCCTGTAGGAACACCCACTCCTCGCCGGAAACTGTCACGCAGAGAGTCCAGAAGACGTGTTTCCGTTAAGGAGCTTTTATGTTGGAAGCGATTCCGAAAGCAACCACTGTCGGAATCTGCTAGTGACTAGAGGAGCCATGTCTGAGGGGCTCCGTCACAGACAGAGGTTTGTGGACTTGAACAAACTCTGAGGGGATACTATTTTACGCACAAGCAGCTCCTCATCCCATCACAGCATTCCGACAGTCTTTGAAAGCAGCTTGTGCAGGAGAAGGCATCATGAGCAACCCAGCCGGAACCGGAGAAGCAGGAGCTGGAGCGGGTCCAAGCCTGGAAGAAAGGTACCGGGTGTTGGAGGTCCAGCTAGCGCTGCAGACGGCGAGGCTTGAGGAGAGGAGGGCTCAGGATGCAGACAAAAGGGAAAGCCACCCAGCTCGCCAGAAAGGTACCAGGATTGGTGCAGAAGTTTGGGGGGGAGCCCAAAGACTATCATGGCTTTCGGACAGAGATGCAATATGCCCTCAATCTGCAGTTTGATGAATTCCCTGACGAGGAATCACGAGTGGCTTTCGTGATTGGGCATCTTGAAAAGGGGCGAGAGACTGGGTTAGACCCCTGATGGCAGCGAATAGTGACGTCCTAAAGGACACGATGAAGTTCTTTCGCGCCATGGATCTGATGTTTTCCAGCGATATTGAACAGGGAGTGGTGCGCAGACAGTTAATGGCTTGCAAACAGGGAGCCGATCTGTCCGTGAGTACTGGACTGAGTTCACCATGCTGGTTCACAGATTGGGGTGGGACTTATCGGCGGAACCCATTCAAATGCTCTTTGAAGAAGGGCTTTCTTCGGCTGTGAAAGACGAACTTTCCCGGGCGCCCAGGGCGGAGTCTATGGACCAGCTGACCAAATCAGCGCTGACCATAGGAGCGCGCCAGGAGGCGAGAGCATTGGAGAGGCGGGAAGGGAAGGGGAACGTTGGAAGGAGTTCCGCATTCCAGACATACCAGAGCCAACTTTCCCGCCGGCAGAGCCGATGGAAATCGGAACAGCGCGCGCGCGCAGTTTCAAAGCCCCGTGAGGGGGGGAAAGAAGGAGGGAAAACGCGCCCGGAAATGCTATCTCTGCCAACAGCCAGGTCACTTTGCCAGAGTCTGCCCCCAGAGGAAGGAATGGCAAGGGATGGTAGGAGCTGTGGAGGGAAGAGAGGAAGCAATACCGGAGCAAGTAAAAGCCAACGCCTGGCTGCCACCGTCGGGGCACAGCAGCCAGGCCAAAGAGCAGTGAGAGTGCCCACGCCAGAACCTCCTAAACCCGCCCTAGTGATAGAAGTGGCGCTAGAGCTGCCAAACGGACACCCTCTAAAGATAAAGGCGCTGTTGGACTCAGGCAGCTCCTGCAATTTCATGAGCAAAGAGTTTGCAGCTGAACACCAGAGCTGTTGGGAGGAGAAGTCAGCTTGCAGACCGTCCCAATGATAATGAAGGTGGCAAGGCACACCGAACTGATCGCGTTTAATGTGGCCACCTTGGGAGGAGCTCCCATTATATTGGGGATGAGCTGGCTAGCGTTACATGATCCGCTGGTGGGCTGGCATCAGAGAGTGGTTTCTTTTGGTTCAGCACATTGCTTAGAACACTGCAAAGAGGGAAAGGGTTTGGCAGGAGCCCAAGCCACCCTAGCAGGGACTGAAGTAACGGAGAACGTGAAGGTACCACGACAATACGCAGATCTCCGCGACGTCTTCAGCGAAAGGGAAGCTGACCAACTACCCCGCATAGACCCTTTGACTGTCAAATCAATTTACTCCCTGGGGCACAGCTCCCTGTAGGCAAGCTGTACGCCATGTCAGACAGAGAGATGCAGGAGCTAAGAGAGTTCATTGACAAGAACCTGAAGAGAGGGTTCATCAGAGAGTCCAGGGCGGTGGGGGCAGCCCAGTGTTTTTGTGGATAAGAAAAACACGAACAAGCCGAGGCTGGTGTGTGACTTCAGGGCCTTAAATGCAGTGTCAGAACCAGTGGCCTTCCCTATGCCCAGGATTGACGACATTTTGACAAGGGTGCGGAAGGGAAAGATTTTCACAAAGCTGGACCTAAGGGGGGCGTACAACCTGATACGAATAAGGAAGGGGGATGAATGGAAAAACCACCATGTTCACCCCTTTAGGGGCATTTGAATATTTGGTTATGCCCTTCGGCCTACAAGCAGGCTCCGCAACCTTTCAATCGTTTATGAACCACGTCCTGGGGCCTTTGCTTTACAAGAATTGTGTGGCCTTCTTAGACGACGTGTTGGTGTATTCTGAGAATGAGGAGCAGCATGTGAAAGACGTCAGAGAAGTGTTGAGCAGGCTGCAAGCCAACCAGCTGTGGGTGAAACTGGAGAAGTGTCAGTTTCATACCAAGGAGGTGGAATTCCTGGGGTATCGCCTGTCAGACAAGGGATTGGCCATGGATCCCGGCAAGGTCCAGGCGGTGCTGGAATGGAAAACACCCAAAACAAGGAAGGATGTGCAGAGGTTCCTAGGATTTGGGAACTTCTATCGTAAGTTCATCCGAAACTTTGCCCACCTGACGGCGCCCATTACGGACTGTCTCAGCAGTAAGAAGAAGTTCGTTTGGACTGAGGAGGCGGAGCGAGCATTTGAGGAACTACAACGGGCCTTCGCCTCGGAACAACAAATCCTGCATGTGGATTTACAAAAACCGATGAGAGTGGAAACTGACGCATCAGACAGAGCGATTGGGGCGGTGCTTCTGCAGCCAGGGAAGGAGGAGTCAGAGTGGAGACCGTGTGCTTTTTTCGCGAAAGCTGAACAAATCCGAGAGGAACTACACGGTGTATGACCGAGAACTACTAGCCATTCATGAGGCGTTCCGGAGATGGAGGCACCTGCTAATTGGCGCACAACATAAGGTGCAAGTGTGCACTGACCACAAGAACCTAGAGTATTGGAGGACGGCACGAGTGCTCAACCAACGGCAAGTGAGATGGGCCCAGGAGTTCTCCAAATTTAACTTTGAGATTGGTTACGTGCCAGGCCCAGAGAACATTAGGGCGGACGCTCTCTCACGCAAACCTGAATATTTGTAGGGAGGGAGCACCCGAAGAGAGACATGTCATTCCAGAGGACCGCTGGGTGTGTGGGGCGGCATTGGTGGGACAAAGAGAACTGGTAGAGGAAACAGAGAATGATGAATACGCCCAGAATAAGCTCAGAGGTCTTAGGGGTGAGGGAGAGGAACCAGGGGTTTCGAGGAAAGAAATGGAGCTTTGTATTACAAAGGGGCACTGTATATCCCTGAAGGAGACTTAAGGGGAGGGTACTCAAGCAGTTGCACGACAGCCCTACGGCGGGGCATTTTGGACAACACAAAACCATGTGGTTGGTCACCAGGGAATTTTGGTGGCCTAAGGTGAGGGAAGATGTACGTGAGTATGTAAGAGGGTGCGAGCAATGCCAGCGAGCCAAAGGGGAAAGGCGGGCGCCGGCGGGGCTATTAGAACCCTTACCAACCCCAGAACGACCTTGGGAGGCAGTGTCGATAGATTTTATGACTGATCTGCCGAAGTCCAAAGGGAAAACAGCCATCATGGTGGTGGTAGACCTACTAACAAAGATGTGCCACTTTGTAGCTTGCTCGCATGCAGTCACGGCGGAAGAGACAGCGAAGTTATTTGTAGAACACATTTTTAGGTTGCACGGGGTGCCATTGAGGGTGGTCTCAGACCGAGGAAAACAATTTACTTCCAGGTTCTGGAGGAAGCTCATGAGCTTACTGCAGGTGGAGGTCAATTTTTCGACTGCCCGGCACCCTGAAACCAACGGGCAGGCGGAAAGAGCAAACGGTGTCCTCCAGCAATACCTGAGGTGTTATGTCAATGACAGAGAGAATGACTGGGTAGAAAAGTTGGCGCTGGCGGAATTTGCCTACAACAATGCCGAGAATGTGTCCACAGGGATGAGCCCCTTCTTGGCTAATTATGGGTGTCATCCCAGGGCTTTCCCAGGGTGAGATGGGGAGAGATGGAGCGTCCCGGCAGCCGAGCATTTTGTGGAAGAAATGGAAGCAATCCATCGTCAGCTCCAACTCAACTTAGAAAGGGCGAAGGAAGAATACAAGAGGCAGGCAGACAAGAACCGAAGGGAAGGTGAAACCATAAGGGTGGGAGATAGGGTGTGGCTGTCAACCCAAGGGTTGCCGTTCAAAGGAGGTTGTAAGAAATTAAGACCCAGGAGGTTGGGTCCCTTTGAGGTCATTCAACAGGTCAACCCAGTGGCTTTCAGGCTCCGGTTACCCAACCACATGAAACTGCACCCAGTATTTCACAGGTCGTTACTGTCACCGTACGAAGGGGGACGAGAAGGGATGGCCACTCGGGGACCGGTCATAGAAGAAAGAGAATGCAGCAGCCATGTGGCAGAAATCCTCGACGCCAGGTGGAAGGGGGATCAGGTGGAGTATTTGGTAGCGTGGGAAGGAGAACCGGAGTCAGAAAACACTTGGGTAATGGCCGAAGATATCAATGACGAGGTATTGATAGAAACGTTCCATCAAAGGTTCCCAAGGAAACCTCAGCCTGTGGAGAGGTTCCGGAGGGAATACTTTGGGACCACTGATGAGGAGGAGGAGTTGGAAGGATTCCCGGACTCGGAAGGGGAAAGGGAGATGGACTCTGAGGAGGAGGAGTACTCGAGACCAGGAACCGCAACAGGTGGAGAGAAGTGTTCGAGACATCGGAAGATGAAGGAAGTTCATTCCGGGGTTTGCCTCCTCACCGCCCGTAGAGGAGGGGGCGAGAGGGGGTGAAAGGGGCCCTGGAGGGGAGGTGGATGTCAGGGAACTGCCATCGGAAGGAAGGGAGGTGAAAGGGCTCACACAGGTTGGGAGAGACTCAGCAGCTGAAGAGGGAACCAGTAGTGGGAGAGGAGCTGAGCTGAGGGAAAGTGAGCTGGAGGGATGGCTCAGAGACACTTCCAGCGAAAACAGTGGGGAGGTTTCAGGACCTCCTGTAGGAACACCCACTCCTCGCCGGAAACTGTCACGCAGAGAGTCCAGAAGACGTGTTTCCGTTAAGGAGCTTTTATGTTGGAAGCGATTCCGAAAGCAACCACTGTCGGAATCTGCTAGTGACTAGAGGAGCCATGTCTGAGGGGCTCCGTCACAGACAGAGGTTTGTGGACTTGAACAAACTCTGAGGGGATACTATTTTACGCACAAGCAGCTCCTCATCCCATCACAGCAAGTTATCCAGACATGCAGAAATCATTTTATTTCTTTTTAAGCTACCGTTGGTTTTAAAATCACTGTTTGGAATATTTTCAATACGTACTTTTAGCTTGTATTTTCTTGATAATAATTTATTTATTTATTTATTTATTATTATTATTATTATTAATGTGACACCCATCTGATTGGGGTGCTGCAAACCACTTAGAGGGGGGTTGCTGTTGTTGCTTTTCAAAAAAAGAAATATTGGTATATAAATGTTGTTAAATAAAAATAAGCCCCCCTGCTGGCCGCCCTCAAGATCAGACCTGCTGAAGTAATGCGCATGACTAATTTAAGGGCTATTCATTTCAATGGGTCTTCTTCTGAGTGGAAACTAAGAAACATGCCTAAATTGCTAAAATAATACATTACATAAGAAATCAGTCAATGGATTTGAAATGCCTGATTTGTCAGCATCATGGTTAGAGTGTCAGACTAGGATTAGGGAGAGATCAGGATTCAAATCCCCACCCCGTCCGTGAAAAGTCACTGGGTGCCTCCCAGCCTAACCTACCTCACCGGGTTGTTGTGGGGATTAAATAAGAAATGGGGCAGAGAACCATGTACGCCACCTTGAGCTCACTGGAGAAGGTAAGATATAAACGCAATATATATCCCCCGCTGCAAGAAATTAAGTTGACAGGGAACCAGGCAGAGGGCCTTCTCAGCAGTGGTGCCCACCCTGTAAAATGCCCTCCCATCAGATGTCAAGAAAATAAACAACTATTTGACTTTTAGAAGACACTTGAAGGCAGCCCTGTATAGGGAAGTTTTTAATGTTTGATGTTTTATTATGCTTTTATATTTCTTGGAAGCCGCCCAGAGTGGCTGGGGCAACCTAGCCAGATGAGCTGGGTACAAATAATTAATTTATTATTAAAATTATTGTATTATTGGCTATTATAAATAATGAATTTTCCAGCACCATCTTGATCTTTTGCCAATTTTTTTCCGGCCGCTTGGGGTTTGCTGTGGTTCCTTCCTCCTCTCCTACCCTGGGTCCCTTCCTCGCTCCCCCCCCCCAGGCGACAGAACCAAGCACCCACCTTCATCCCAGGGGAAGTAGAGACTTAAGATGGACGTGCAATAATTGCAGAGGTTCGGGAGGGACTTGAGGTGCTGCTGGAATTTCCCGTTGGGCAGTTTGGCTTTCAGGAGCGGGGCCAAGTGGCTGAAGACAATGGCGTCCAGGGAGGCAGGCCTGAAAAGAGAGGGAGGGAGGGAGGAAAGAAAGAAAGAACAGAAGAGGTGAGGGAATCCCCAGGAGGGCAAGAGGCGAAGGCTAACCCTCTCCTCTCAGCAGTGTGGTGGACTTGGGAGTCCAGGGTTCAAATCCTGTGGCCGACACACTGGTATGTCTGCAGGTTTACAAACCACTTCACAACCCAAACTTACCAAAATGATACACAATGAAAAGAATAAATGGAGATTAAATGAGGAGGGAAAGAGAACCATATACAGTATTTTTCGCTCCACAAGATGCACCTGACCATAAGACGCACCTAGTTTTTAGAGGAGGAAAACAAGAAAAAATATATTCTGAACGTAACAGTGGATGTATGATTTTTGTGGTTCATGCTGTGGCCACAGACATGATATGTGATTTGACGGTGAGTTTGGGGTAGCCTAATGCAAAAATCCTGAGAATCCATGTGGATCCGTGCTTTGTAACCACGTTTCTGTGCCACTGCGGCCCCACGAAACAGTGGATGCGTGGTTTTTTTGGTGCAGGCTGTAGCCATGGACATGCTATGTGATCTGCTGGTGAATTTGGGTGACCCAATGCAACAATCCTGAGGATCCATGTGCTTTTACCTCCCCACTCTCAGGCAGCCTCCTTTATCGCTAGCCTCCCTTATCTCTCTCCCGATCCCTTGCTGATCAGCGGCTTTGTTTCAACACCCCCTTCCCTCTTGTTTGCCTTAGTGTCTTTTCCTTATCTGGAGCAGTTTTTTGCTCCTCCTTTTCTTCTAATTTCTCTCCTCATTGCTTTAATTTTCCTGTCTCCTCTCTGTCTTTACCTCCCCCCTCCCAGGCAGCCTCCTTTATTGCTAGTGTCCCTTATCTCGCTTGCGATTAGCGGCTTTGTTTCAACACTCACTTCCCTCTTTAAAAAAAAAAAAGCATCATCTGCTTTTTGCCCCTGGGCAATTCGGCTCCAGGGACCATGCATTCACTCCATAAGACGCACAGACATTTCCCCTTACTTTTTAGGAGGGAAAAAGTGCGTCTTATGGAGCGAAAAATACGGTAAGTAATAAATTATTATTATTATTATTAGTTGTACCTTGGATCCCAAGCACCTTGTAAGTCGAACGTTTTGGCTCCCGAATGCCGCAAACCCAGAAGCGAGTGTTCCAGTTTGCGAACATTCTTTGGAACCTGAATGTCCGGCGGGGCTTCCGTGGTTTCCGATTGGCTGAGGGAACTTCCTGCAGCCAATCAGTGGCCGCGCTTTGGTTTCCGAACGTTTTGGAAGTCGAACGAACTTCCGGAACGGATTCCGTTCGACTTACAAGGTACGAACGTATTATTATTATTATTATTATTATTATTATTATTACCACATGTGCCACCTTGAGCTCCTTGGAAGAAAAGGTTGTCTATAAACACAGTAAATAAATGGCAAGCGTCGCCAGCGTTTGGCTAAATTAATGTGAAAGAAGACAGTGCCTCTGAGCATGGGCAGAGTGTGCTCCCACTCACGGCAGAGTAAGGAGACATTAAAGAACTGCAGGGATTCCAGTTCCTAAGGGACTTCGCACGCCCTCATGGGAGCCTATACTTCCGCTCACAAACGGCGAACTTACGAATCTCCAAAGAAGAACTTCTGCCTGCCAAGGCGTTGGGACAGCAGCGTCAGGCACTCACGGGCTTCCCGGTACAGCTGTGGGGCACAGGGAGAGACAAACGGTGTCAGGCTGTGACCCTTGCCATTCTCAAGCCCTGTCCCTTGACATAAACCTCCCAAACACCTCATCCCCCTAAGAACCAGGGCCTGCTTCTTTGGGCTGCGGAAAAGACCCTCTGTCCAGGCAAGCAAGAGGCAAAGATCAGAGTTCAAGGAAGGGCGAATCGGGGCCAGCAGAGGGTGTGGCCCTGAGAAAAGGAGGCGGGGCCTCGGAAGAGTTCCGAGGGCCAGGGGGAGAGGGCAGGAGGGCCGCCTCTGAAGTTCTCCACCACCCTGCTGTTGCTGCCCCTGCTTGTTGCGACCTCATCCTGCACCCACTGACCTCCTTCTCCAGCTCCTCTTCGTTGTCCAGGCAGTTTTCCCCGCAGACCATCTGCAGCCGCTCCAGCTGCCGCTTCTGCATGCGGCCCGGGAGGAAGAAGTTCAGCGGGAAAGGGATGGCCTCCCCGTACCATTTCCGGGTGTGCTCCACATAGTTTTTGGCATCCACCCAGAACGTGTGGATCTGTCGGAGAAAAAGAAGCCTGGTGGGACAACAGCTCCCTTTCTTTATTGTTTTCTGCATTTACCGTATTTTTCGCTCTATAGGACGCACCGGACCATAGGACACACCGGACCATAGGAGGGGGAGAACAGGGGAAAACATTCTCCCCCTCTCTGCTCAGCGCCCCTTCAGCGAAGCGGGAAGAGAAACAGAGCCCCTTCCATTTCTCCTCCCGCTTCACTGAAGGGGCGCTGCGAAGAGGGAAAACTGTGCAGCGCCTCTCCAGCGAAGCGAAGCCTGGAGAGCAAGAGGGATCGGTGTGCACTGACCCCTCTCGCTCTCCAGGCTTCAGGTGGCTATCCGCAAGCCTTCAGAGCGCAGCGGGAACTCCTGCTGCGCTCCGAAGGCTTGCAGATAGCTGCCTGAAGCCCCCAGAGCGCAGCAGGAGTTCACTTCAGACGGCTTCAGCAAAAGCAACGCAAAGCCTCCAGAGCGTGGTGGGAGCGCTCCCTCTGCGCTTCGGAGGCTTCACGCTGCTATCACTGAAGCCAAGGAACCTGCATTCGCTCCATAAGATGCACACACATTTCCCCTTAATTTTTGAAGGGGGAAATGTGCGTCTTATAGAGCGAAAAATACGGTATATCCTTCCTTTCTCTCCCCACTCCTCAGTTCTCTCCCCACAACAAACCTGTGAGGTAGGTTAGGCTGAGGGGCAGAGGCTGGCCCAAGGTCACCCAGTGAGTTTCACGTCTGGATTTGAACCCTGGTCTCTCCCAGGTCCTAGTCTAGCCCTCTAACCAGGACCATCTTTACCCGGGGGTGAAGGGGTGCGAGGCACCCGGACGCCAGATTCTGGGGGGCCCCAGGCTCAGGGAGAGCTCTCTGGAAAGTCTCGCTCACCAAAGCCGGGCGGGAGGGGAGTGACAGGAAAGCATTTGATTGACGTTGGAGTGAGACTGAGTTGAGAAATAAGACTAAGAGCACATACTGAAGGAGCGTCTTCACCCCCATCGTTCAGCCCGGACACTGAGATCCAGCGCCGAGGGCCTTCTGGCAGTTCCCTCATTGTGAGGTTACAGGGAACCAGACAGAGGGCCTTCTTGGTAGTGGCGCCCACCCTGTGGAACCCCCTCCCATCAGATGTGAAGGAAATAAGCAGCTATCTTATCTTTAAGAGACATCTGAAGGCAGCCCTGTTCAGGGAAGTTTTTAATATTTAACGCTGTACTGTTTTTAACACTTGATTGGGAGCCGCCCAGAGTGGCTGGGGAAACTCAGCCAGATGGGCGGGGTATAAATAAATTATTATTATTATTATTATTATTATTATTATTATTATACTGATATAGGAATGTATTAGATAATATGTAAAGAAATATACAATAATAAGAGTACATTCATATGTAAAAAAGGAATATACAACGGGAAAGACAGGAAGTCTAGTGTGTTGGTATGTATATGATTTTAGGGGGGAATTTGTTTTTGTTTTTTCTCCTTGTTCTTTCTTTTTTTTGGTTTCATTTTCTTTCTAGGTATATAAAATTTGTATATAATTTTTGTATACATGTTGTAAATTATTGTTATAGTAAGTCCTGTAATGTAATATGGCAACGTTTACCGATGTAATGTAAGAATATTAACAAATAAATGAAATGCAAATTCAAAAAAAGAAAGAAAGAAAGAGGGAGAGACAGACAGAAGGAGAACGCACTTATCTAGTGACGGAGCGCGCACAGGCTCCGGAACCTTCCCAAGAAGTTGTATATGTGCGCTCACAAGGGCCTTTCCAGCTCCTCTAGAAATTGCTAGCCATAATGCTCCCACAATGAAAGGCTGCCCGAAATGGCTCTCCCACGCATGCGCACAATGCTCTCCTGTCTCATCTTTCAGACACCTCCCTATGACTGTAAGCGCATGCGTGGAGTCTTTACACCGACTCCCAATGTGTTCTTTGTCTTCTTTAGAAAAGCTGGCTTTAAATAAAACCCACAAAAAAACCTCATTTTGGATCCACACAGGCGTGAGCGCTGTTTATCAAATGATAATAGTGACATAAGCATAATAATAGTTAATTTGGGGGCTAAACTAAATTTGGGGGCAGTGGGCGGATCTTTGCACTCCGGAGGCGCATATGCTAAAGCAGGGGTAGGCAAACCAAGGCCCAGGGGCCGGATCCGGCCCAATCGCCTTCTAAATTCGGCCTGCAGATGGTCCGGGAATCAGCGTGTTTTTACATGAGTAGAATGTGTCCTTTTATTGAAAATGCATCTCTGGGTTATTTGTGGGGCATAGGAATTCGTTCATTTTCCCCAAAAAATATAATCCAGCCCACCACATGGTCTGAGGGACGGTGGACCGGCCCACGGCTGAAAAAGGTTGCTGACCCCTGGGCTAAAGACAGCCCTGCCTCTAACCACTACACAACACTGGCTGTACCTAACCTTGCTTCCTTGACCCAGGGGCTGAACGCAACATCTAACCATGTGCCTGATGCCACGTTTGGGTGCAACAGCAGCTTTGCTACTCTTTTAAGTTTCTGGTCCTCATGGTTAAGAACAAAATAAACTTTTCTTTTGGGAATTATAGGGACAGAACCACCTAAATTGTATAGAAATTTATTTATGTGTGCTACTACAGCAGCAAGAATGTTACTTGCCCCAAAATGGAAAGAAGGAAGAACGGAGACAAAAACTTATGGAATATGCAGAAATGGCAAAACTTACCGGAAGAATAAGAAATCAAGATAACAAACTTTTTTTTAATAAAAGAATGGAAATGGTTTATTGAATATGTACAAATAAATTGCAAACAGATAAAAACATTAGCAGGATTATTGTAATAACCTGCGGATTCGTAAGAGTATATATTTAAAGTAGATAATTAAATGAGCAAATTAAATGAATTTGGATATGCAGAAGATATTAAAAAATAAATTTAAGGAACCGCAGAAAGAGGGGGAAGGAAGTCAAACTGCACTCTCCCATCTTGTGGCTTCCAGCAACTTGTATTCAGAATTATTACTGCCTCCAGCCATTCAGGCACAGCATAGCCATTACGGCTAGCAGCCACTGATAGTCTTGTCCTCTGTGAATCTCTGCAACCCTCTTTTTGGCCATCACTGTTTCCTGTGGCAGCGAGTTCCATAGTTTAACTATGTGCTGCTGCGAGAAGAAGCAGGGGTGTTTTTTGTGTGTGTGGCTGCATAATCTATTGTTTTTATTCATTCAAACTCGGCTTCCCTTTCCTGCATGAAAGGGAAAGTCAAACCCGTCAGTCACAAACACAATGGGGTTAGCCTGTTTGGGCTCCGACCCTACAAGCCTGGAGTGTAGGGTGGGTGAGGGCCCCACGATCAACGCAGCAACTTCTCCCACCTGCCCCGACTCACCAGCACAGGCAGGAGCTTCTCCTGCAACAGGGACACGAAGGCGAGCGTGTCGGCTCCCTGCCGAGCCGAGAGGTCGTAGTCTGCGTTGAATTTCTGCGGTCGAGTGGGGGGAGAGAGGATCAGGGCAAGGACGGAAGTCTCCCACAGCTCCCTTAAGATCTGGCATGGGGAGGGGGTGCTGCTGGCACATTTGGGCCCATGTGGTGGGTTTATATTATTATTTATGTTTAATTACCATCAAATTATTATCAGATTGTTGTCGTTGTTGTTATACCACCCTTTATCAAAAGATCACAGGGCAGTGTTTGTTTGTTTAATTAAATTTGTATACAACCCTATATATAATAACAATAAATTTTATTTATACCCCGCCCTCCCCAGCCAAGACCGGGCTCAGGGTAGCTAACAACCGATATAAAAACAAATTGATTGAAATACAACTTAAAAACAAGATTAAAATACAACATTGAAACATTTAAATTAAAATGCAGCCTCATTTCAATGGAAACTCAAATCAAAAACTTTTTGGGAGATGAAAACATCAGGTCTTCACCAAGGCTAACTATCCAGACTGGTCCTACATGGGCCAGAAAAAGCCAGGGAAGTCCCCAAATAGGAGTTCCATCACAAGAGAAAAAAAGAGGGGGAGGGAATCAAACTGATTCCAAGCCAAAGGCCAGGCGGAACAACTCTGACTTACAGGCCCCGCAGAAAGAAATCAGATCCTGCAGGGCCCTGGTCTCATGAGGCAAAGCGTTCCACCAGGCCGGAGCCAGTGTTGAAAAGACCCTGGCTCTGGTTGAGGCTAATCTGACTTCCTTAGGGCCCGGGACCTCTAGGGTGTTGCTATTTATGGACCTTAAGGTCCTCCGTGGGGCATACCGGGAGAGGCGGTCCCATAGGTACGAGGGTCCTAGGCTGTGAAGGGCTTTAAAGGTCAAAACAAGCACCTTAAATCCATACATATCCGCAGGTCTCAGTGCAGTTACAACAAAATTTCACAAAATGAAAACACACAATAAATAAAAACGAAAACAACCCAATAACCACCCCCCAACGCATTTTAAAAGGGCCTTGGGTGTCCATCAGTGCTAGAGAGGTTGGGCAACTGTGATTTCAGAATCAGGGGGGACTCCCTACCTTTGCCCCCACCCGACCAAGATTGCCCCAGAGGCGATCCCAAGGAGACTGTAAGGGAGGTACCTGTTTCCTGAGGTGGGTGATGATCTGCTGAGTGTCTGAGATGATGCCTTCATCTTTTGTCTTCAGTGCCGGGAGGGTCCCTGCAAACAGACGACGTCAGAGGCAGGTGACTGGGTTGTTTCCCAGGCACAGTTAGGAGAGCTGGGTTTCAGCCCTGAAGCCCTTCACAAGTGACCCACTGAATCAGGGAGTGTCCCAAAAAAGGAAAAGTTATGGGGAAATGATACCTTTGATCACAAGGCACACAAAGTTCCCATGGCTGGTTCTTTTTAATATGTATATGTTGCAAATCAGAAATAAAAGAACTCATAACACATCTGTTAACCGCTGCAAGAACAACCATTGCCAGGACATGGAAATCATTGCAATTATTCAATATGGACCAATGTCATAATGCAATTGGACAAACAGCATTATTGGAAAAACCAACAGAGAAATTAAAAGTAGCAAGAGGCTAAAAGAAACACAACAATTTTTATGCAGTCTGGGGTGACTTCAATTGCACAAATAGTGAGGCATGTGGGAGAGCTGTACCCATCGTCTACCGCACAGTTTGGTGTGCAAAAAGCACATATTTTAATTATTATTTTCTGCTCCTTCCTCCTGCCTTCATATAAACTCCTGTAGATCATAACTGCTGTTGAAACAAAATCTCTCTCTTTGTAGTCAACAATCCAAGCCAATATATGGTGTGATGCATCGTTTTGTGTCTGTTAAAACTGACATGGTTTTGGTATATACACTCTGACATAACTTTGTTAGTGCATTTGAAGACGTTTCTCTGAGTGTTTGCAATTGTTTTATTTTTGATTTTCATTTTGTGTAACCGCTGCGTGTCGTATGCTCTAATAAAAAATAAAACGAAGAATAAGGTTTGGCCAATGACCCATCTAGTCCAGCGTCCTGTTCTCACAGCGGCCGACCAGGTGCCTCTTGGAAAACCCACAAGCAGAACCCGAACTCAAGAGCCCTCGCGCCTCCTGTGATTTCCAAATACTGGTGTTCTGAAACACTGCTACCAGAGTATTGTTAGCCCAGAAATGGAAGCAAGAAGAAATTCTGACAGAAGAATGGCAGACAAAATTAATGGACTATGCAGAATTAGATAAAATGACAGGAAGGATTTGAAACTTGAGGGATCAGAGATTCACAGAAGACTGGAAGAAATATACGAACTATTTGAAGTGGAACTGTAATCAACAAATTACGCTAGTAGGACTACAAGAAGTTTTGTAAGGAGAAATGTATGAAACACTGCAAAGTAGAGAAAGAACAGAGATACTAGTTATGAGATAAATGTAATAGTGAAGTAAGAAATGTATATTAAGTGAATAGGCTGGAAAATTTTCAGATGTGATTGATGGAAGTAAAAAAAAATGGTGTAAGATAGGAAAGTGTTTAATTACTGTTGAAAATGATATGTTGGAAAATTAATTAAAAAATTATAAAAAAAGAAACAAACATTACTACCAACCACTTGTGCAGAAAGAAGGAGGCGGACGTCCCTCAATTTCCCTGCTTCCCATGAAAATCTTACCTGAGGGGCTTCGCCAAGGATTTGTGATTTTGTGAACCTTGAGGGGTGCACCTGTGAAACGGGCATAAGTCTGGAAAGGAGGGGGGGAAACAAACTGAGCTTTTGTGTAGTGTATTTATTTTTTACATTTCCTCAAGGAGATCAGAGTGGCTTATAAAATCCCCTCTCCCCCCTACAACAATCTTGTGAGGTAGGCAAGGCTATGAAGCAATAAGTGATCAAGCACGCTTGAGCTCCATGGCTGAACGCCAGTCTTCCCAACCCTAATTCACACAACACATTTAAAGTGCTATGATACCCCTTTACACAGTCATGGCTTCCCCCTGCACCAAAGAACTCTGGGAGCTGTAGTTTGTTAAGGGATTGTGAAGGGATGAAGAGAATTGTTTGGAGGAGACACCTATTCTGGAACTACAATTCCCAGAGTGGTTTAACCATCAATCCCTCTCTCTGGGGAACTCTGGGAATTATAGCTCCGTGAGGAGAACAGGGGTCTCCTAACCGCTCTGAGACCCTCAACAAACTACAGCTCCCAGAATTCTTTGGGGGAACCCGTGACCAATCAGCCCAGTGGCCCATCTAGCTCTAGGGCAACCGGTTGCCCCAGTGGGAAGCCCGTAAGCTGGACCCGGGCGCAACAGCAGCTGTCTCTCCACTTGTGATTTCCAATAACTGTTCTGTCTAATGTGGTAGGCCCAACTGGTTTGGCAGTAGCCCCTGATAAGTCATAGCCTCCGTCAATCTGTCAAATCGGCAGATTAAAAATAAACTTTTAAAAATATGATTGCAAGGGGGAGGCTGCAAACAAGCCTAAGAGCCACCCCAGGGGGGAAAAATAAACCCAAAGTCAGTGACTAAATCACAGCTATAAACACAGCACTGGCCCATAATTAGCTAAAAGACCTTTTGCCATATGGTAGAAGGTCATGGAGGAAAGGGAGAAAGTTTAAGGGTTACATATTCCTTTAAAATATTAACAACCCCCTGGGAATTGCAGGTCTGCTTGTCAACCTTTTCTATTTTCTTAAACTGGCCCTGCTCCTTAGTTTTAAAAAGGCGGGGAAGGGGGAAACCGTCATCCTGGGCGCTTTGCTTCTTATAATATCCTGCTTTGCTTAAGGGCTTCGAAAGCTCCAACGCTGCCAACTTTCTGCCTGCTAAAAAGCACCGGAGCAGCGCTGGGGACTGAAGTTGGCCCAGGGAAAGGGCGAAGAGCAGCCAGGAGGTAAAGACGTGGCCCCTCGTCTTTCCCCAAGTCCTCCCCACCGTGCCAGGGGAGAGGCAGAGGCTGCGTCCCAAAGGGCAAAGCTTTTGGGGAGAGCCAGCGGCGCCCGCGTTTGGAGAGGGGGTCCCCCGCTCCACGCCCCTCGCTCTCCAAGGCTCACCAAAACGGCCAGGCAGTCGGGATCCACCGACGGCAACCCCCAGCCGCCAGCCCAGCAGTACAGCTCCATGGGCGCCGCCATGATGCAGCCCTTCCGACCCGGAACAACACGCTCCGAGGGAAAGAGGGGGGTAGAAAAGAGAAGTCACTCCGATTCCGTCCAGTCCCCGCGCGTAAAAGCGCGCGCTCTGCGCTTAGGGCGCAGCGGAAAAACGGCCCCGATCGCAGCGCGGGAATTCAACCCGGTTCTGCGTTCGATGGCCAAGGGGGAGCTTTCCCCTCGATTTTCTCTTGAACCCGAGCCCTAGGGGCGGGTTTGACTCGGGAGTATCCGCACGAAGGCTTCAAACAGCGCGCTCTTCCTAGCCACGGTCTACCCAGGTGTAAGCCCCACTGAGTTTGGAGAGGCTTGCTTTCTCGGGGAAGGGGAACTAGGATCGCAGACTTCTTCCACCAAAGTGGCGTGCTTGTAGCAACACGCATCATTAAAAGCTCATGGCTTCTCCCAAGGTGTCAGTTCTCACCGTGAAATAGTTACAGTAAGTGCCACACTTTTAACATATGGGTACTGCGTACCCTTGAGTACCCCCAGAAAAAGCACTTATTATTATTAGTGTTTAGATCTGGCCTTTTATCGCCAGGATTCAAGATGGCTTCCATCATTTGCAAACAACCTTATAAAATACAAAGTAGAAAAAGCAAACTAAGTTGATTGTCATCTGATGCCCTTTTAAAATGTGTCGCAGAAGGAGAGATTATTGGCTTGTCTCTGTTTTTGTTTTTATTACGTATCTTGTGTTTTTTATATTGTGATTTTATGTTGCGAACTGCCCTGAGATCTACGGGTGTAGGGTGGTATACAAATTCAATTGAAAAATAGCTATAGATAAGCTATAATTACAACACATCAGAACGCATTTGGAGCCAGCAATTAAAATGTAGTGTGATCTTGACAGCGGCCTTAATTTTCAAGGGCTGGTCTGTACAGGAAGGTTTTATCCTACCTACGCTGTGGGTTAAACCACAGAGCCTATGACTTGCCGATCAGAAGGTCAGTGGTTCGCATCCCCGCAACAGGGTGAGCTCCTGTTGCTCGGTCCCTGCTCCTGCCAACCTAGCAGTTCGAAAGCACGTCAAAGTGCAAGTAGATAAATAGGTACCGCTCTGGCGGGAAGGTAAACAGCGTTTCTGTGTGCTGCTCTGGTTCGCCAGAAGCGGCTTAGTCATGCTGGCCACATGACCCGGAAGCTGTACGCTGGCTCCCTCGGCCAGTAAAGCGAGATGAGCGCCACAACCCCAGAGTCGGTCACGACTGGACCTAATGGTCAGGGGTCCCTTTACCTTTACCTTTACAGAAGGGATAACAAGGAGGGAGCCAGTCTGGCCTCTCTCAGGAGAGAATTCCACAACATGGGAGCAGCCACAGAGAAGCCTCTCAATGTGTCACCCCTAACCATTGACAGATAAGCACAGAAGGCTTTTGCCTTACTTCTGAGTAACGGCTACTCAGGCCCCACACAAATGGGGACCAGACTTCCAGTGCTGCTGTGTGCATGAGAAGATTTTCACTCTGGGTAACCATTAAAGGAAAAGTTTCTCTGAGCATGCCTTTCCTTTACCGTAATACAGGGGTGGGGAACTTAAAGCCCAGGGGCGGGGGGCAAATGCAGCCCTCCAGTCCTCTTTCACAGAGGACTAAAATTTGCTTTCATTTTGCCTCTGGGCTAACCCCTAATCCTTTCAAAGAGCTACAAGTCGCCTGGGAACAGGGATGGGTCATTAAACCATTTTGGGAAGTGTAGCTCTGGGAGAGGAGCAGGGTGCCTCCTAACTGCTCTCAGCACCCTTAACGAACTATAGTTCCCAGGATTTTTGGGGAAGCCATGAGTGTTTGAAGTGCTATGGTGATGCTTTAAATGTACAGAGCAGAGAGGGCCTTGGTGTGTCAACATTCTTAGCTTCTACCTGCTTTTTTGTGTATTGCCAAAAGAGGGAGCATCTCTCTTTGTACAACTCCCCCCCCCTTGCACAACACAACACACACATGCAGAAGCCATTGGATAGCTCAGTTGGTTAGAACGTGATGCTGATAATACCAAGGCTGTAGGTTTGATCCCCATATGGGATTCGCATTTTCCTGCATTGCCAGGGGTTGGACTAGATCATGGGTAAGCAAACTAAGGCCTGGGGGCCGTATTCAGCCCAGCAGCCTTCTAAATCCAGCCCACGGACGGTCCAGGAATCAGCATGTTTTTACGTGAGTAGAATGCGCCCTTTTATTTAAAATGCACCTCTGGGTTATTTGTGGGGCCAGCCTGGTGTTTTTACATAAGCAGAATGTGTGCTTTTATTTAAAATGCATCTCTGGGTTATTTGTGGGGCATAGGAATTTGTTGTTGTTTTTTTCAAAATATAGTCCGGCCCACCACAAGGTCTGAGGGACAGTGGACCGGCCCCCTGCTGAAAAAGTTTGCTGACTCCTGGACTAGATGATACTCAGGGTCCCTTCCAACTCTACCATTCTATGATTCTACATTATGGACAGGCCTTCTCTGACACTGGGTTGCATTTATCCTTTATTTTCATTCATTTATTGATTACATTGATATCACACCTTTCCTCCAAGGACCTCAGAGCAGCACAGATGGTTCCTCTTCCTCCCCATTTCATCCACACAACAACCCTGTGAGGTAGGCTAGGCTGAGAGTAAGTGACTTCTCCAAGGTCACCCAGGGAACATCATGGGTAGGGTGGCCATATTCCCCAAAGTGAAAATCCAGATAAAGTTGTTGAGGTTTTTGGGGTGCTTTTTTATTTTTAAAGCATTTTTTTTAAAAAAAAGAAGTCCAACTTTCCATATGTCTGGGTTTCCCAAGACATTTTGCCAATTCAGCGAAAACCCACCCGGATGCCGTTTTGAGAGCCCAATTCCTGGAAATGTGCAGAAAAACCCAGACATATGGCAGCCCTAATCATGCGTCTAGTAGGGAATTTGAACCCTGGACTCCCAGGTCTTAGTCCAACACTCTGACCACTCCACCGCACTGTCTCTGACTGTCCAGCTACGGTCTACTCAAGATCGAACCTATTGCTGTTAATGGACCCAAGTTAGTCATGTTCCTTCGTTTCTCCCTCCAAGTAGGGCTAACATTGGACGCAACCCCTCCATTTTAACAATAACCATTCATTTTTGCCCCCTGTTCAGCCAAGCCCAAGTCGAAAGACAGACACTGACGTCAAGGAGGCTCTCTTGTGTTTGCAGAGGAGCGAAGGATCCAAACCAGAGGAAACAAGAAGAGATTGATTTGGTTGGGGGGAGAGGGAGAGACACGCATCCTGTCCCTTTTTGCCAAGGGAGGTGAGATCCAGCTCTGAGGCTGCAGCAGATGGACCTCTGTTCCTGTTTGAGGCAGAGAACTCGATCTCGGGAGCCCCCTTGGCTCAGAAAAGAGGCGGATTTGCCCAGGCAGCCAGCCAGCACATTCCTCTGTGGCTATTGCCTCATTATATTTCCCTTGCAAAAAATAGTGCCTCCGCAATGATCTCATTCGAAGGGGACACCAGAACACGATTCCATCACATTCTGGGCAGGAGTCTGTGTGCGCACACACACACACGCACACGCACACACACAGGAGGAAGGGAGGGAGAAAGCCTCTTTTACAACGCTGTTGCTCAGATCTGCCGCTGCAGAGGGAGCCAGAGTGGGTGGACTACAGCTCTCCAGAAGCTCTCAAACCCTCCGAAAGGATATTGTAGAGTTGGGAAAGGTTCATAAAAGGGCAAGCCAAGTGATCCAGGGGACAGAGCAGCTCCACAATGAAAGGTGGCAGCGTTTGGGGCTTTATTGCAGCTGGATAGCTCAGTTGGTTCGAAAGCACATCAAAGTGCAAGCAGATAAATAGGTACCACTCCAGCGGGAAGGTAAACGGCGTTTCCGTGTGCTGCTCTGGTTCGCCAGAAGCAGCTTAGTCCTGCTGGCCACATGACCCGGAAGCTGTTCGCTGGCTCCCTCGGCCAATAAAGCGAGATGAACACCGCAACCCCAGAGTCGTCTGCGACTGGACCTAATGGTCAGGGGTCCCTTTACCTTTACCTTTAGCTCAGTTGGTTACAGTAGGGTTGCCGTCTTTCAAACAGTGAAAATATGGCAACCCGGGCAGAAAAGTTGTTCAGCTTTTTTATTTTTTAGTTCTGCCCAACGTTGTTGAGCTTTCTTGGCAAAATCGCAAAAAAATGCTGCTTTCCAGCAATTTTTGTGGAAGATCGGCAGAAACGGCACTGCCGACATTGGACATTTTTACCAATTTCCACCCGGACACTGCTCCCGACTGCAGTATTCCGGACTGCAGAAATCCCAGACATATGGTAACCCTCGGTTAGAGCGTGGTGCTGATAACACCAAGGCTTCAGGTTCGAGCCCCATAAGAGATAAGATGCATTGCAGTGGGGTGGACTAGATGATCCTCAAGCTCTCTTCCAGCTCAATGATTCTTTGATTCAGGGACTGAATCCGCAACAACCGCTGCTGGCAAACGTCTTGCTGGAAGAGAAAAGGCGAGTAAGAAGTTTATAGAAGGATAGAGAAAAGTTTGTCTCCCTCTTCCAATGAAGCTGAACGTTGGAAGATTCAGGACAGATAAAGTCCTCCTTTGCACAGCGCAAACTCGTATTGTACCATAAAACCTTTTATTGGCATCACATACAACATCCAAAACAAATCAATACAGAATTACCACTTCCCCAGTGGCACAGAACATTTGCTAAAAGAAAGGAGGCAGAGACCCCAGCATTCAAGGATACGAGTCAATGAGCACACTCTGTCTCTTTTCCAAAGTTTGGTGAATTCTGACCGTGTGATCCGTTTGTTCTCGACAGAGAAAGGTGATCTTTCCCCTGTTGTTGGAGTCACCCGGTTTGACAAATTTATCGACATTTAATAACTGAACTGTCCCACTTGCACTTGCATAGGTCACCTAAGAAGAGGGGGATTGGCGATTGGACTGTCAAAGAAACCATAGCAATTAAAACCGAGGTTAGGAGAATCTATAGAGAGTTCAGAGAGACAGGCAGCCTGATATCTACCGTACTTCTCCAGATCCCGACAACTCAGGGAAACTATCCAGCTCAGTCGGACAAGATATAATCAGCGCATACTCGAAGCATAGCTGTCAACCTTCCCTTTTTTTGTGGGAAATTCAATAATTCCAGC